GAACAGTGAAACATTAAGTTCTGTTGTTCACAGGCCCTGAAGTCTGGGGTTCTTAGTGTATGAAGTCTCTTCGTATTGGAACATCACACACGTTGTTGAAACACTTTATTCTTTTTTTGCCAGTCTCTCAGATACGTGGTGATTTGTTCCTTGGTATAGGGTAGTAGTATGCTAGAATAAAACAAGCAGAGTGGCAGGAGTATTTGTTTAGTAGCTTTTAAACATATTATTTTCTCTGTAAAGGTGGATTCAGCTCATATCAAGTGCTTTATAATAATTTCATTTTGCGTGTGTATGTGGTATGTATTTAATTAGATAAAACACCAGGCACAAAAATATAACAGGCAAGTATAAACCAAAGTTAGAGAATTGAAGGTGATCTATATCAACTGACTCAAAGTGTGCTAACAATGTAGGATTATTAGGCAAATATTCCAAAGCAGCTCATAAATATGGTGAAAGAATCAAAATGAAATGTTTGGTTGAAAATATAATATAGCAAACACATAATAACACTCCGGGGCCCAGCTGAGCTCTGAAGTTCTGCTCACTAGGTAGCTTACTCGATGCTAAACAAAAACGCCGTCTTCCGTACGGTCTGTGGCAGGCCTTTGCCGTGGGGACCCCCTCGCGTGCCCACTGCTCGGCTGGGGGAGCCACCCCCTCTGGTCTTCCCCTTCCCTGCTCATTTCCTCTGGCCTCATTTCTGGTGCTGCGCTGGCCTCCTGCTCTGTCTGACTCCTCCCGTCTAGACGACTTCAGCCTCCAGCTGCTTGGGCCAGCGTGGCCCGGAGCTCCCAGCAGGCAGAGCTGTCTTCTCAGCAGCAGATTCCTCTCCGTTAGCTGCCTGCTTCCCCCTCAGACCCTCTAGGATCTCGCCCATCCCATATCCTCCTGTCGTGAGTCAGGCGTTTAGGGGAGATTTCTGGTCAGATCTGGGCGGTGACTCCTCCGTCCCACAGCGATAGCGGGGCCCTGGCTTCTCGCTGTCACGGCCCTGGTTCCGCGGAGCCCCCGGGGCGACCTCGGCCGTGCAGTGGATCAAGCGCAGCAGCTCCCATTCCATTGTGTGGCTGGATGCTTTCTGAGTCCTCTGATTCATTTAAAGATATATCTTTGATCCAATTTGCATAACCTTTATTCTGCAGGAAAATCCATTTATTCACATTTTAGACTTCCCGATCCTGTCTCACAGATGCCATTCACTGTTTATTTTTTTTCACCGTTTTTTCTTTCAGATTGTTTCTTCTCAAAACCCAGTGATACTTTTTTGAAATTTTAATTTTTAAAAAATTTTAGATGATAACCTACCTAGGTCTAGGATCTTCATTTGATTCTCTATATAGTTAATGCTTCTCCTTATTTTTTTCTTTTGGTCACAGAACAAATCTGCTTTAAACTTATTGTCTGTTAATTCCAGCTTCCGGACACTTGTACTTCTAATTCCCATTGATTGTGGGCGTTTGTTTTTTGGTACCAGGGATCAAACTGGGGACCTTGTGCTTTCGATGCAGGTGGTGGAACTAAATCCCACTGAGCTAAATCCCCAGCCCTCAATGACTATGTTTTTACTTGAGTAGGACTTACATTTTGGCTGTTTGCATACATGGTTAGCGATTTTGGATGTTTTTCCCACCAAGTTGTAGAGATTGATTCCCTAGCTGGAACATAAAAGTATCAGCAGGCAGTTAATTTGGCTCAACTCAAAATGCATGTTTAGAAACCTCAGTTGAGTTACTTTTGGCTTTAAAAAATGGACTTAGTCGGTACCTGCCCCATGCATGCGTACGCAGGCATAACGCAGAGACCCGAACCGAAATTTGAGATGTCACTTAAATTCCAAGCAATCCTCCTGCTTCAGCCTCACAAGTTCTGGGATTACAGGCATGTGCAGCCACACCTGGCTTCTTGTTTTTCTTTTGACCCACAGGACTACAGAGATCTTCTCGGGCTGGAGTCGTTTTGCGTGGTGTTGACCACAGCCTGCCGTCAGAGTCAGTCATGTTTAGAAGTGGAAAGTCGCCGTTCTCCCAGGTGCCACCCTCCTCCCACCCTTTGCTTGCTTTTAGTCGGTCATCAGTGAACCCTAGCAAAAGCAACACGTAGCCAGTGTTTACATTTTCTAGTTGATGATTATGGTTTCCACGGGAGATAGCTCGCTGGATTTCCCAGCTTCTCTAGAAACAGAAAGTGTCCCCTTCCCTCTCGCTGTGTGGACAGTGTTTCAGCCGCCTCACTTTTTCTGTTTTGGGGTAGGGGTCCTGTGTACTTTATTGCCTCTTGATCTGGAGCCGCGGTTAGCTCTTCTCTTTGCTCCAGTCCTAGAGCCTGTGTTTTCTTCTAATATGTACATGGATGGGTCCATTTACAAATTTCTGTCTGTTCTCATCTTTCCCCCGTCCTGTCTCTGACTAGGTTTCGCAGCTAATTATAGAGACCCTGCTGCTCCATAGCTACTAACCAACTCCTTTTTATGCTTTGCTGGTATAACATTGCGGGTTCTTTCCCAGTTAAAACTGTTCCTGTCAACTTGTGTGCTGTGTTTATTTACTTGGTGTGTTGAATTTTTAAACCAATGGAGGAGAACCGATAATGCTGATGTTTATATATCTTGTAAAAGAATATAAAATGCCTTCCAGCAGCCAGGTGTGGTGGCGCACACCTATAATCCCAGCACTCGGGAGGCTGAGGCAGGAGGATCGCTGAGAGTTTGAGACCAGACTGGGCTACATAGTGAGTTCCAGGTCAGTCTCAACTATATAGTGAGACCCTGTCTAAAAAAAAAAAAAAAAAAAAAAAAAAGCCTTCCATTTTTTGCAGTCTGTATATTCTTATGTCTAATCCTTAAAACTATAAACTTGGCCATTTGTGAATGAGATTTTTTGTTCCTTTATCTCTCCTGAATACATGCGTTCGCACATATGTATTTTACTTCCTTTGTCCTTTTACTTATTTAATCTTTGGAGTTGGGGATTGAACCCATGACCTCCTACAGATCAGCCGTGTGCTTCACCACTGCGATACCTTCCCAGCCCCTAAAGCTACTGCTTTTGTACATTGACTTTCCAGCTTGCGACTCTCCTAAATTGTTCTTTCATTTAAGTGATTACAATATCAATTCTTTTTTTGGTACTGGGGATTGAACTCGGGTCCTTGCGCTCGCGAGGCAGGCCACCGAACCACTGAGCTAAATCCTCGGCCCAGAATATCAATTCTTGAGGGAGCATTAATATGCTAATATATCATAGTGGATGTAATTTCATTTCTTTAAAAATTGTATGCTTATGTACTTTCTTTCATATAATTATCACGCACACAGAGCGATGTCGATTACCAATTGTGATAGTGGCTTTTCTTGTCAAGTTCCTGAAGAATTTCTCTATAAACAAAGTGCCTGTGCCGGTATCTCTCTCTGCTGTGTTCATGTACATACTGTACATATTATATATTTTTACATATATAAATATAGTATTATCAAACTTCACTAAGGAAATTCATATATTCCTACTTCTTTTAGTGATTTATAAAAATCATAGTTATTGAGATTTGTCACAGGGCTGTTAAAACATTTTGGTGCTGTATATTGCACACAGGGCTTCTCACATGCTAAATAAATGCCCTACTATTGAACAATATCGCCGGAGACCCCTGTAGTAAGGTTGCAGTACCCACCTGCCCAGTATATGATCCAGGCCTGAGGCAAAAAGTACACTAAATGTCAGAACTCGGAGAGACAGCGGGGTGCCAGGACAACCTCCAAAGGCACTGGTCAGTCCCAGGCACTGAGTTTTCTTGGCAATCAACTGGAGTAAAGGCAACATGTGGTTTCTATGGAAATTAATGGAAACAAGTCTCATAAAGGACAAGACAAAGCATTCTCGAATTGGGAATAGAATAGATAAAATATATGGTTGTAATTGGAACATTGTCCTTCCAGTCTGAAGGTTTTAGTTGTGGGAATGGAATTTGGGTGCAAATTACTCTGACCTCGGCACACAGGCTTCAGCCAGACTCCCTTCTATAAACAGCCAGCTGTGGGGTTCACTTTCTACCCCCTGACTTGGGCATCATCAGCCTTACCATCCTCTGCACAGTATCCCCAGGCTTCAAAGGCTTTATAAAAAAAATCACTGGATGTTGTTAAATACCCGGGCTCCTTTTTAAAATCCTTTGGTGAATTTAATAATAAAACTTCTAATCTTGAAGTATCCTTGTATTCTTAAATCTCAGGTGGTCACAGTATATTATTTCCTCAAGCTCACGTTTCCACCATAATTTTTATGAACCATGGGCAATGAGGGAGAATGTTTTACGTTTCTGACAATAAACAGCATATGTAGCCCTCTGCTTAGTGTTGACTGTAAGACAATTATTGATTATTATTGATTGTAAAACAAACATCTTGTAAGAATGTGAAGAATGCAGAAATGAAATCGCCTAAAATGCACGGTTATCTTTGGGAAGGGTAGTTCTGTAGATGAGATCCAGGTGACAAAGATGTAAATTTTTTTTCTCTACATGACTTCGTGATGCTTTGCTACCTGTCTGTGTTATTCACAAAGTAATTTAGTAATTTGGAAGAATAAAATATTAAGAGAATAATAACACTTTCCATCCACTGCTCACAGCTACAGTCCCTGGTACAGGTACCTATACCACATCGATGTCCTTTATTATGCACATTTTGTTGTCATTTTTATGTATGTTCCCCTCACATTAGGCACTGCAGCCTCGGGAGCTTTCTCTGGGAAGTTAATCTGGGGATCGACAGCACATCCTACTGAAGAGACATTTTAGATATGACGGACAGAGTTCACCTTGTGGATTATTCTCAGGACGTGCCGGTGAAGGATTTGGGGGACAGACTGATAATGAACCCTCTGGCATTGCTACGTGAGCAGAACACAAACACATCAGGCAAGTCTGAGGTGTAACTTTGGGCTGACCGGTATGGGCTCCACCCCCCATTAATGCAATCACTATGCTCAGAAACAGAGCTCATGGGGGAGAAAGTTCCTATCAGAACTGGCAGTACCGGAACGAATCTAAACAGAGTTCCACATCTATGGCTCTCGCAACAACAGTGCAGAGCAACGTCTTCCTGGGCTCCCGTGAGAATGACTCCCGGTGATTTTATCCTGAGGCTGCTCTTCCTGGCCCAGACTGGGATTGGGGTGGTGGGGAACATCTTTCTTCTCTCAGCTTACGCCCCCACATCCTGTGCCGGCCACGCACGGAGGCCCACACACCTGATTCTCTCCCACATGGCTACGGCCAACTTCTTGGTCCTTCTCTTCAAGGGGATCCCCCACATGATGTTCATCTGGGGGGTGACACCCACCCTGGGCAATGGGGGATGTAAACTCTTGCATTATGTCCCCAGAGTGGCCCGGGGCCTTTCTCTCTGCACCACTTGCCTCCTGAGCCACTTTCAGGCCATCACCATCAGCTCCAGAGCCGGAGGGCGGGTGGGGTCCAAAGACCGAGTTTGGAAGAACGTCAATTTCTCCTGTGTTCTGTGTTGGGTCTTTAACTTGCTGATAAATGTTTTCATTCCCATCCGTGTGGGGAGCCTTCCGCATAACCGCAGTTCTCCCACTGTACTGGACTATGTGCTATGCTCTTTTGAAAAGTCTGACACTTCTGTCCCAACGGGAGCATTGTTCTTGACATTCCCGGATGTTGTGTTCCTGGGGCTCATGGCCCGGGCCAGTGTGCACATGGTGCTTCTCTTGTACAGACACCACCTGCGAGTGAGGCACATCTACACCCACAGCAACTCCCACGGATTCTCCCCCGAGGCAAAAGCCACCCGAACCATCCTCCTTACAGCGGGCACCTTCCTTTTTGTTTATTCCATCAATTCTTTTCTTGTCCTTTATAAGAACGTCTTCTTCAAATCATGCCTGTGGCTGCAGCATATGACTGCTTTTGTGGTCACCTTTTACCCCACTGTCAGCCCGTTACTGGTGCTTGGAAATCACCGAGCACCAAATTGCTGCTCTGAAATGCCGAGAAAGTAACAAAAAGTAATAAAAAATTGCCAGTGGTCTCATTCGTCAGTTATCCAATCATCCACCCGAGGATGTAAGAACATCTGGGGCACAGAAGACGTCTACAGCACAGCGCGTGGTGAGGAGATTTCTCTGGCATTGACCGAGCTGTGCAGAGGCTTTGGGCTCCACTCACAAGCCAGATGTGCGACCAAGTCGACAGCAGGCGGCGAGTGACCACCGTCCTGATGCTTACGTGTTATGTTTTCTCCTTGAAATGTTTTAGGAGCACGGAGGGCAGTATGGTAGAGATGATTTGCAGATGTTGCAGTTTTTCGTGATTTATTGGGGCAATGATTCTATTGCTTGCAGTTGTGTATGCTGAGAAGCAGTCATGAAGTTTTGTACCAGCTACAGCTATAACTTATGGAGAGGCTTTTAACGACTATAAGATTTGGAGCATTTACCCGGACATTTAACGACTGGCACCCTGTGAGATTACTGTGCACGGATAAGTGAGATGAGAGGTAAAACTTCCAGAACAGCCGAGTGAGAAACTTGGTTCACCCATTCTTCCGTAAAAGCAAAATTATCAAACTCCACTATCATTAAAACTCTACAATTTAAATAAATGCTTACAAAAATCAAATCTCCATAAGTCAGTGGGGTTTCTGTATTTTCAATGCGGTCCTACTCTCATTCGCCTCTACCCAATTCTCCCTAACTGCCTAACTTTGGAAACCAGCAGCCTCACCACCAACAGTGCCAACAGATAAGCTCGGAGATAAGCCTAGGACTCCTCAACTACCTCTACCGGGAGCTAGGTCATTAGGGGGTCAGCTGTTTTGTCTCAGTAATGAGAAAAGTAGCAAAGATGATTCCCCAACCACCTTTGATTTTTTAAAGATTATTTTGAGACACAGTCTTGCAGTATTGCCCAGCTTGACCTCAATCTTTTGATCCCCATCCTTATCATAAGTAGCTGGGATTAGAAATATACACCCTCATTTCAGATGTGGTGGCGCACACCTGTAATCCCAGCACTCGGGAGGCTGAGGCAGGAGGATCCCTGTGAGTTCGAGACCAGCTGGGCTACATAGTGAGTTCCAGGTCAGTCTCAACTACATAGTGAGACCCTGTCAAAAAAAAAAGGAAAAAAGAGAAAGAAATACACACTACTGTGTCTAGGTAACCTCATTATTTTGATGAATAACTTTACAATATTTTAACTAAAATTTAGTGTCATGTGACCACTATGCATAATCTGAATACAGAACAGTTCAACAACCCAGGAAATTTTCTTTGTTCTTTTTTGTTGTTGCTATTAAACTATTCTTCATCTTTATTCCTTTCAAAACCTCTAATAATCACAATTCTACTTAAGCCAAGTTCTTTTCTGTTTGTTTGTGTTTGCTTTTGTTTTTGTTTTTGGAGACAGGGTCTCACTGTGCACTTCATCTGATCTTGAACTCACTATGTAGCCCAGGCTGGCTTCAAACTTGCAGTGATCCTCCTGCCTCTGCTTCCTAAGTGTTGGGATTACAGGTGTGCACCACCACACCCAGCACCGATTTCATTTTTTAACTTCCACATAGTACAGATAGTAGTATATGGGGCTTGTCTTTCTGTATCTAGCTTAACATAATGTCCTAGAGTCGAACCCATTTTGTTGCAGATGACAGGGTTTCTGTTTTCTTTTTGGTCGATATTTTATTGTGTGCATATACATAGTATTTTCTTTATCCATTTGTTTGTTGATAGGCACCCAGGTAGATTTTAGACTTAAACTTGTGAATATGCAACATGGGCACTCAGCTCTCTCTTTGGTATGGTGATTTCATTTAGTACAGCCATATAGTCAGAAGTGGAATAGCAAGTCATATGATACCACTATATTTAGTGTTTTTGAGCAATCTCCACACTGTTCTACATCGCGGTCATCCTCATTTATAATCCTATTAATACAATATGAGAGTTCCTTTTTATTTCACATCTTTGCCAGCATTACTTATTGTTTTCTGACAATAGCTATATAATAGTGATTTAAAGTTTCATTAGCTAAGTTTGTTTTCTTGCTTAAAGTGGTGGCTGCTTGTTTTCTCATTTGAAAAGCATCCTATCTCAAACATGTTTAGCTGTTTGCCTTCTAGCACTGATTGATGATTCATGCCTCAACGAATTATTTCAGTAGGTGTTACATGATAATGATCTAATTTTAATCATTCTTTCTCGGTTAGAGGTATTATTTTGTCAAAAAGAATATGTCTTTGAATTTCATGAAAATCTACTTTCTTCTATATTAGGGTGGTTTCTTGGTTCTAACCATTTGTCATTTTTTAGAATAAAGAGTGAATTATCTTCCCCTCCACCAGTAGCAGCTGAGACAGTATAAAGTGATTTCAATGGAAAGATGTTGAAAATCACACATCAGAATTAACAAAGGATTAGAACTAAGAAGACACCCTAATTCAGGGACAGGTTGGAAGGCTAGGTCTGGCACCAAGAAGTAAGTAAGCACGTGTTGTACATTGCCAGCAGCTGCAGATAGCTTCAGACCTGCAGGTACTAGGGATTAGAATTATCCAAAGGCTCAGAAACGATTGGTTTTCACTTGCTACTAGTGGGCGGAATCCAGCTCCTGGAATGACTGTCTCGCTTTCCATAGGATGTAGTTTCCAAAATGGCCGTTTCCAGACCACTGTAGCCCGATGGGCGCCGCCCTGTTTCAGAGCCATAACTCCTCCAGGGATCAGGACTGAAGTGGGTGGAGATCTGGGAAACAGTCTGAGAGCTCACCATCCTGCCTAGGTATGGGAAGCAGAAGCGGAAGTGAGGTACGGAGGGCTGACATCTCCAGGTGTGTGCATTACCGGAAATTCCGTTGAATTTCTATGGCACCCTTGGGATTTCCTGGCTTCTGTGGTGGGCGCTTGTGGCGGATTGTTTAACGCGGTTTTGTAGTTCTGAGTTCCTTTGTGGCGTCCTGGGCAGACGTCAGGGTGTCTGGTAAAGGGTTAGGAATGAAACGGAGACTTTGCATTTGCAGTGACATGTTGGAGTCTGGGTCAACGTTGGGATCACTGTTGGCCGAGGGGGAACATCAGGTGTGGTCACCAAGTACAGGGCCTGGGGGTTAGTTGTCTGGGTGAGTCACGGGGGTCCTGTGGCCAGAGTTTGAACATTGGAGGGCTGTGTTACAGTTAGGTGTCTGTGAGTTCTGGAGGGGATTGGGCCACTGGCGCCTCTATGGGAGAAGCTGGTGGCTGAAGGTAGGGAGACCTCAAGTGCACCTTCAGAGGCTGTGCAAGAACTGAGATGTTTTTTTTATTTTTTGGTACCGGGATTGAACTCGGGTCCTTGCGCTTGCGAGGCAGGCCACCTAACCGCTGAGCTAAATCCCTGGCCCCTGAGATGTTATTTTTACTACTGTCTTATACTAAAGAATTCCAGGGATAAGAAAAGTTGAATGAATGGCAAAACAATCACTGGTGCACTCACCAACTGGATCCCTGAACTGTTAATTTTATTAATTTCTGTTGATTTTTCTTTACTTTGTTCATTTCCATTTTTCTTTTTATTATTTCCTTAATACATCCATTGGATTTAATTTGAGTTTTTCTAACCTTTTGAGGTGAAAGTCTGATTTCACACTTATGTCCCCTCATAAAACGGTACAGAGGGTGATCACAATCTATGGTTGATGTCTAAATAAATTAAATGCACACATCACACACATTGCCATTAGTCCTCTTCAGGACATCCTTGCTTTCAACATACCTGTCCTATTCTTGCCGCTTTCTGAAGTGGTTCTGGTAGTCCTCTTTCATGAGTGTCTTTATGAGGCATGATCAAAAATAGAGTGAATACTGTTGCAGAGTGCCATCCATTGGAAAGTCAGGCACATAAAGATGTTAGGATGTGTCCTTATCCACAATTTATTTACCAAATCTGGCACTGTGCCACTTCTAGCTCTTCCATAAACTCAAAATGACCATGGAGAGTAAATATTTTGAATTGATACAGGCCATCAAAGCAGTTACAGCAGTGCAACTAAAGACATTTACAGAAGACTTCCAGAGACGTGTCAGAAAGCAGCAGACACAATGGGACTAGTGTGTTTGAAGGGATGGGAAGGATTTTAAGGGAAATTAATGGCAGTGTGTCTTTTACGGCAATATATTTTTTAAATGTATGCATTCACCATATTTGTTGATCCCACTTCACACAAGTTAAATTTTGCTTTGAAGCACTCGCTACCTTTGGCTGAATATTACAAAGCTAGATGTGTTATTTAGTTCAAAGTACTATGCAGTTCTTGAGATTTCTCCTTTGACCCTATGGGCTGTTTCAAGGCATGTTCAAGTTCAAATGTTAGGGCATGTCCTAGTTAGGTTGTATTGCTTTCTAATTTGGTAAGTTGTGGTCATAGAATATATTTTGCTAATCTAAAGCCTTTGTTATTATAGAAAATTACTGTATAGTGCAGAACTTGGAAATAATTATTACATTATATATTGTATCATGCTGTTCTTGGGTATATTGTTTTATAGATGTCAATCACTTGATTGTGTTGTTTAAATTTTTTATAATATTGCTGGTTTGTTGTTGTTTTTGGACCACTGATATTTTCCCACAGATTTTGAATACTTTTTTCTATTTATCTTATCACTGTTATTTCTTTCTGTTGCAATTTGGCTTCTTTTCATTGATTTGAATTCAAGTTCATTGATTCTTGGTGTTGGACTCTCTGAGCTAGCCACCATTTATGGGGTACACACAATAATTGGAAGGCGTATGGGGTTACTTGGGGGGTGGCTGTGATCTCCTGCCTGATCCTGTGCCGACGCAAATCTCATGCTGAGGCAGAAAGGAGAGCGTTCCCACTTCAGTGGGTGGGACGAGCTGGGCTCACGAGGAACTCATCCCTCCCCAGGGGAAAGCTTTCTCTTCTGTGTTACTACTACTGGGTTCTGGGGGAACCAGGATGTCTTCAGTGGGTGTCACTTGCCATCGAGCCTCAGAGCTTCACA